TTCCATGTATAATGTAATAAAAAATGTAACATATGTCAGTGATGTGCATGGATACAATACTAGAAATAATGATAGTTTTTATATCCAAAGTTGTAAGCTCTCTAAATCTAAAAAAAGCATATACTGCGACGGATTTAAGGCATTCAATAATTTACCAAATATAATGAAAACCAGTACTAGTATTAAGATATTCAAGCATACTCTAAAAAAGTATATTTTAAATAATGAGATAGGTATACAATTGAAAATTGACAGTTCAAAATATGTGGATATTTTGTATAGCTTGAACTAAATAAATATTATTATTATTATAAAAGTGAATTTGTACAAGAAAAATTGGCTAGTAATATACAGCAGTAATTTCTTTTTTTACTAAATTCATAAAGATAAATTTTCACCACAATAAACTGAAAATAAATAAAAAAGTTTTATTTAAAAATATAAAATGTTATGCAGCTGTATCTCTAAATCAAACTATTCAATATGCTGACAATATTGTTATAAACATTTTTGAAACTATAACGGTTTTGAATAATTTCTTTTTCAATTTTTACTAATTTTATTAGTATGTTACAATGTCATTTGGCAACGCCTCTATTTCAATTATACGAATTTAGTACTTTTCAATTAAGTTTTAAATTATCAAACAGTTTGAATCCTTTGACATTGAATATCTAAGCTTCTTATTATGCCAATCTATGGTCTAACGTCTTTCATATTGCAAGTCAAGGATGACATTCTATTTTGCGGTTTGAATTGGAATCATATCGAGTGGTTAGAATTTATATTACGTTTTTCCTAGCTCGAAATAAAATCATATGTTTTTCCATTTTTTTTGTAGATATGTCATATTAAATGACGTTTGTATCGGTTTCATCGTTTATATTTCTTTTTTTCAATTCAAAGCACGAAATGTCAACGAAACTAGTTGAATAAATAAACAATAGTTCACATATTGACGTAATATTTTCTTAAAAAATTTGTTTCGTTTTTTATTTCAATTTTCATTTAAATATTATTTATAGACTGATCTAGTATTTCGATATTTTATCAAAACGTTGCATTCGAAGCCCCAGTCCCAGCCATCGTACAAAATAAAAAAAAAATATTCATTTTTATTTCGATTATTTAAATACAGAATATTTTGTCTACGATCCTTCTCCTTTCTGATTTCACTCGGAAATGTTTTCACAATCAAGTAACAAAACGTGTAATCCGAACAGGACTTCTTTATCTCGAAATATTCTCTCATCAATATACAATAAATTAACTACACCATGTGAATACCTTATTTGGTGTATTATACAAACGTGAGTGTAGAAGATGAAGAACTTAGAATCGGTGTATTTACCAATTTTCATGTTACACATGTAACGCGTGGGAGAAGCCACCATAATTGTGGGCTCTGCTAGGGGTGTCCACTTAAAAAAATATCGATTTTTTTCGATACAAACGTACTATGCATCGATGTTTTCCGATTTATCGGTTTGAAACATCGACGTTTTCTCGATATCAGATTCTTTTCCTAACATTTCATCAAAAGTGAGTCCTCCAGGCACTATAGAACAAACCACAATTTTAATCTCTTTATTAATATCTCTTAATTTTTCTACAACACTTCTTTTGTCCGATCGTATGTTGTACATTGTACTGAGAGATAAAAAACGAAATTTCTTGTCAAAGTTCTCTGATTTAATTATTGTTGATCAGAAAAAAAAACTATCGCCGTCAACAAAAATTATGATTTAATTTTATAACTTCTGAATTGTTCGAAAACAACTTAAACAGCAATCAATAGGTATAATCTACAGATGGTTAAAATTGTTCGATGTTGTAAGAAAATACATCGATACATAGAGTGAATGAACCGTTTCATTGCATCGTACTATGAACATCAAGTGAATTCGATGAATCTATGTATATCGAATATCCCTGGTTCTGGTATATTTACAATCCATTTGTATTCATGGCATGGCTTGAGAAACACGAGATTTTTCAGGAATAAATTGAAGAGTGACTCTTCAGAAAACTCTTCGAAGAGGTATCTTTTATGAACTCTCTTCCAGAATCGGAAGTATTGAAGAATTTTCTAGTACATGAGAGGTAGAATGTTCTATTCATTTAAAAAGTAAACCCAGGCACAATCTTATGTCATAATGAGATTTTCCACCGAATTTAGTTTCAGGGGCCATTACAGTTATAGCAATTCGTTATTAGATGGCGCTAATAACATATAAAGCTAATCACCCACGCTAATAATAACCCCAGATAAACGTTGTGAATTAAATTTTTTGATTTAAATGTTTTTATTATTAGGAATTGTAAATACCTAGGAGAAATATTTTAATTAATAGGATTTTCAAATGTATCAAAACTTATATTTGTTTTCATTTACCCTTAATAGACCAACATTTGTGTGGATCTGAAGTTGGCAGGAAAATTAAATTCAAAACTATGGCAGAAAAAAATTGAGAAAATATTAAAATAGACATCTTAATGATTCGAGCAATTAATATTTCCAATAGTACCTATTAAATATTTTTACAAAATCTTTATTTTCAGTTTAATTTATGAGATAAAATAAAATTCGTTTCTTATCAATTTATTTATTTAAATAGTTTCGAGAACAGTATCATAGGAGTTGTAGATCTTCAAGCAAATTGGCAATGTCATATTGACATGTCACGGAAAATCATCATTAATTAAATTTTTTATAATGTATATAATGCTGTCGATTGACTCTTACCTCTTACATGTAAAATTAATAAATTCATTGATTAAAATCGAATTGAAAACGGTACGAAAGATTTTGTTCAAGGTTTTCATCGATGCTGAATTATTTCAACCATATATTGAATTCTGTTAACAGTCTTGTCGAAAATACAATTAAAAAAGTTTCCTTCGAGCCGGATTTGAACCAGCGACCTATGGATGTCCATTTGGAAGTCCAACTACAGTCCACCGCTCTACCAACTGAGCTATCGAAGGTTGTGAATATATTTGTGGAGAAATTTATGCATTCTTCGGATTAATTATGATAACAAGTTTTAAAGTAGAACAGTTCATATTCAAACAAATATCGATTTAAAAAGTTCTCCTTCGAGCCGGATTTGAACCAGCGACCTATGGATGTCCATTTCCAATTCTAACTACAGTCCACCGCTCTACCAACTGAGCTATCGAAGGTTGTGAATATTTTTGTGGAGAAATTTATGCATTCTTCAGATTAATCATGATAGCAAGTTTTAAAGTAGAACAGTGCGTATTAAAACAAATTTTGATATAAAAAGTTCTCCTTCGAGCCGGATTTGAACCAGCGACCTATGGATGTCCATTTGAAAGTCCAACTACAGTCCACCGCTCTACCAACTGAGCTATCGAAGGTTGTGAAAATTTTCGTGTAGAAATTTATGCATTCTTCGAAACTAATCATTATAACAAGTTTCAAAGTAGAACAGTGCATATTCGAACAAATTTTGATATAAAAAATTCTCCTTCGAGCCGGATTTGAACCAGCGACCTATGGATGTCTATTTGAAAGTCCAACTACAGTCCACCGCTCTACCAACTGAGCTATCGAAGGTTTACATTAAATTTGAAACCGGCAAATGATCACTGCCTGAAAAATTTTGTGAAAACGAGTATTTCAAGTCAGATAAGGAGGTCAGCACATAAAATGGCAAGATGCTCTACTTTCTATTTGTAACAGGTTTGAAAGTGAGAGCTCTGAATTGAATTATTCTGCTATAAAACTAGCAGATTAAATGCTTTTCAAATTTTAATTATATTCAACATGTTAAAACTATCGAATTAATGAAATAGAATTTCATTGTTCGATATAAATGAGTGAATTAGACGAAAGAGTGAATATAAATTCCATGTTTACTTAATATTTAGCTAAAAACTTCTTTACACAATGTGAATTGTTTAAGATTTAAAAGTTTAAATGAATTAATTCACTTATTATACAATTCAAAGTTTTGAACTTATAATAATAAATGTTTTTGTAATAATTAGATAGATAATTAAAAACAATATTCTTCATCAAAATTAGAAATAACTATTGCATAATTTTGTCTGTTAATTTCTGATTATTCATTTGAATTATGAATATGAATAGGTTAAATATATATTTTTTTCATCACTTTATTCATTTTGTAATATTCACTTCCTATAACTTACCTCCACATTTTCAGAAAACTTTGTAGTAAAATGTTGCCAATGAATAAGTAAATCAATGAAAAAAGTTGTATTCTTTGACGATTCTATTCAGATATTTTATTTATTCACATCAATACTTTAAAATAAATATATTTTATACCCAAGGATTATATCTTATCTATATTAAATTTGTCAGTACCTATTTACTTATAATAATACAGTAAATAAATATTGGATAGATTAGTCCGTCACTTCGTGATAATGAGGTTATAGAAAAAAATATTTATTTTTGTTCACAATATTCATCAAGAGGTTATATAGAAAAAAAATTTTATTTTTGTTCACATTATTCATCAATTCAGTGAATTCTGCACTACCAATTCGAATTATTAAACTATAATAATTCTTTCTGAACGTTGTAGAAATTCCTATTCGTTGTAAATAACTTGTTTTTTATGATTGATCACATAATTATCCATACACATCACAATTTCGAACTTAAAAATGTCTCCTTCGAGCCGGATTTGAACCAGCGACCTATGGATGTCCATCAATTATTTCAACTACAGTCCACCGCTCTACCAACTGAGCTATCGAAGGTTGATAAAATTGACGGAAAAAGTAGTTTATCAAGACATCCAAATTTCATAACAATGTATAGTTCAGATATTAAATGAGGATAAAGACCATAAAATAGCAAGACTCTTATATTAAGAAACTTTGAGATCATAATTTTTATATGAAAATACAAAAACACTTTCTTCAGTGTTCAAAACGCCTTAAATAAATATGTTAAGAAGCAATTATAAGCACCTTGTCAAACTTTTAGAATAAAAGTCTCCTTCGAGTCGCATTTGAACCAACGACCTATGGATATCCAATTGAGAGTCCAACTACAGTCCACCGCTCTACCAACTGAGCTATCGAAGGTGTTATTTAATGAAGTCCTTTCATTATATCCTTACAAATCTCCTAACCCAAACCTATGAGAAACTAGTATAATAAATATAAATGTACGATTCAATATTGAAACTAAAAAATATTCTCCTTCGAGCCGGATTTGAACCAGCGACCTATGGATGTCCACTTTCTAAACCTTCTACAGTCCACCGCTCTACCAACTGAGCTATCGAAGGTTGATATTGATAGCAAAATTTTGAGAAATTGACTAAAAACATTGTGAAATTCATTATACAATCACATTAGCACGAAGTGAATGCTATCAAGAACAAGTTTCACTTTGCATAAAGCAGTTCTGAAAGTGCGAACTAGTTTTTAAAGTCGCAAGTTACTCATTTGATTACTCGTCATGAAAAGATTCTATCGAAAATATTGTTCAATAATAAAATAATATTTCTGAGATTCGGAAGAATTTTAACAACCTTCATCACGGTCTAACTCACTCTTTGGGTTAAATATATGAATATTCTTTTTTCCAGGATTTCGTAGACTGAATCACTTTTATCCCAGAAGTTCTGATGTAAAAAAATAATCAACAACTACAAAACAATACACTTCAATTTCTCTTTACGAAAAGTTAAGGTTAAAAATTATAAAACAACACTATCCTACAACTAAGTACTTCCATAATGCTTATTTTGAGGTTAATTGTTTACATTTTTTCTGTCTTTCTTCAATTGCTATCACATACCTTCTTTCTTAACTTGATCTCGCTCTAGTTTTTTTCTTTCTTTGTCCTTACCAATTAGATGTAACTGATTTCAACTTGAGTTAGTTATAGAAAGACGATATGTTTAAACGTATTATGTTAGAGAGGTTACTGTTATATTTTAGCATTGTTTTGTACTGCTTTAATTTTTTATTTGTTTTATTAAATTGATTGATAATTCGAGGATTTCTTGGTGAAACATTGTTTGATATAAATCGAGAAAAAAATACTTGGATGTGTTTCCCAGAATGAAGAAAACTATGAGTATTATACTCGTATCAAGTGCAAGACAATATAAACAAACATATAAGGTTAACAATTAAATTATTTGACACATTATTTGTCAAAGAATCGATATTATTGTTTGAAACTAAACCGAGTGTTTTATTCAATTTGTTTGTTTTATAGTTGATGATTAGTTTAGTTAGTATTTTAGGCCCCCAGAAGAAGAAGTGAGTTAGATTGGAAAAACACTATGTTGGTAATATATTAAATTGGAAAAATGAATAAGTTGAATATACTCGTATATCCCAAATATTTCCTCAAAATTTCTTCGTTCTCTAAGATCACTTATTTACGTAACAAATAATATAGAAATACAGTTTTAACTGCACGTGTCGAATGAAAAACCACTAATCATGGTTTAGTTTCGCTTCAAAATACGTAAGAATAATTTTAGTAATAATGAGAAATGAAACTGAGTAAAACCCCATGATCAATCTTTCAAATTACATTAAAAGATACGCAAGTTGCACGGAATAAAAAAATCCCATATTCCAGTTACTTTTAGAGTATGACGAATCAAACTAAACAATTGAACAAATTCTGAAAATTTTCAAATTCGTACGAAAAGTTGTTGGTTTATATTGTGTTAAATAATTTCCATTGAAAAATTTTATTATGCAATAATTAATTGAAAATTGTTGAGAACACTTCCGATTTTAAGATGGAAGGTAGAATATCATAGAGAATATAAAATTTCAATGATTCTATGACAATTAAACGAGTTAGATTATGAGAACAGATTTACCTAACGTAAACAAATATTTTTCGAATTTTTTCATTTTATTTTGTTGAAATTAATTTTTATTATTTTTATTATAATATTATTTAGCCAAATAATTGAGGTTATTTGGCTAAGTTTTGTGGTTATTATATTGGTTCCGTGTTTTGTTTCTTTTTAGATATTTTCCAAATAAAGTTTCGAATTGTTCTCCAATTTTTTATTTGTCATTTGTTTTTACGTATTTCAAAAGAGGTAACAATACGAAATAAATGTTTTCTCTGTTTTAAAACAAACTTATAAGAACCCATAGACATTATACCTCATCAAACCATAAATTAATTGTTCAATTTATTCAGATTATTTGTAGATTTAAAGGTTTATATTTAACTAGCTTACCCGGCCAATGTTGTTTTGCCATATAAAATATTTCTAGGGAATTTCTAGTGTAAAAAAAAATCACTATCTCATTGTTAGTGTGTAGGTAAGGATGTGGTGAAAGCGTAATGGTGCGCTGTGAACAATGAGGGAATACAAAGCTAACAAAACACTAAAAATTAATTTTTATTATTTTATCAAGCTATATAGCTATATTTTAACGATATTAAATTAAATTAAACTCTTGGCTTAATGTTTCACAATTATATTTAACATCAATTCGTCAACATGTTTCGATCCTGAGCTCATCTTCAAGTCAAAGAAACATGTCGACGAATTGATGTTGTCAAATATAATCGGGAAATATTAAGCCAAGAGTTTAATTTAATTTAATATACTTAAAGATGAGCTTACGCTCGAAAGATGTTGACGAATTGATGTTGTTAAATATAATCGTGAAATATTAAGCCAAGAGTTTAATTTAATTTACTATTTAATTATGTTTCACCAAGAGTTAAGCGAGAATTCAATCTCAGCCATATTTTAACGAATCTCAAAATGTATATACGGTTATAAGAACATTATTCCTTGAACCACATCGTCATTGACCCCTTAAATGGGTTAAAGAGTCACATCCCAGACCACCAATTGTGCTTGTATTATATCACCTGTACCCAAAATTAATGTTCCACGGAATAAAATCCAACTATGTAAATTTCAAACCTGAAATTCGAGGATGATTCACTACCAACCACTTCTGGAAAATTTTTAAATGATGTTGACCTAATTTCAAGGAACAACTCGCCATGTGAGTATTCTTAGAAGGAAGGTTCTTATTTTGAAGTACATTAACCCTAGTTTTAGATAAGAATAGAAATAATTAATAACCAGATAGATTAACAAGAGACGCCTTCTCAACATAGTCGGTCACCTTGTCGTCTTCACCTTGTCTTTTTATTTCTTACACTAGCTCATTCGGCGGGTTGTCTTCTCATCTGAAGATAACACATATTTTCCTGGAGTCTTATTTCCACCTACTTTGCTTCATATTTCTCATACTCTTCGATATTTTACCTATAAACACTTACTATTCTGTTAGAACTAATTGGGACAAAGGATAAAAAACAATGTTTTCGTGAAATCATACCTTTTAATGAAGTAAATACATACCAAATAGCGTAAATTCTTCATGTTAATATGAAGTATGTCCTTCTTTCGCAAAAAAAACTTCTTGAACTCAAATTCTTCAATTATTCATCATGAAACCACACCTGAATTACACTCATATTAATTTTTTTGTAGTGCAATCCAATTTGGCTTGTCGTGTCTTTAAAATATTCCATAAATTCTCAATGGGATTGAGATCAGGTGAATTCCCAGGCCAATCGAGTACTTTTATTTCATTCTCACGCATAAAGGCCTGCACTTGTTTGGAATTGTGGCAGGGAGTCAGGTCGTGCTGAAATGTTTCATCAAACGTTTCTACGAATGGGACAATCCTGGTGCGCAATATTTCCATATATTTCACTGAATTCATCATCCCTGTTATAGGAGCTAATCGTCCAGTGCCATTGGTTGTGAAAAAACCCCAAAACATTTGTTACGAAGTATGTTTTGCTGTTTGCTAGATGTGATCAGGCCGCAAAGTTTCCCCATCACTTCGTCTAACAACACTTGATTTGTACCCTTGAACAAACAAATGTGTCTCATCACTAAAAACCTCCTTCTTCCAGTCGTCCACAGTCCACGCACGGTACTTTTTGGCCATATGCCAAACGTTTCTTCATCATTTTCTGGGTAAGCAGTTGCTTTCTTCTTGGTCTTCTTGTCTTACGGCCAACCTCCAGCAGTCGTTTTCGCACAGTTGAAGTGCTCACCTCCACACCAGAAACTATTAAATCCCTTCGAGGATCAGTGCTTGTCTTTCTCGGATTAATTTTACTATTTCTCATCAACAATTTGTCTGTTCTTGGAGTTGTTTTGCGTTTGCGGCCACAGTTTCCTTTTCTTCTTGGAGACGATGAGCCACTTTCTTCGAATGTTTTTATAATTCTCGAAACGCTGGACTTTTCCACACCAACAGCTTCAGCTAGATCTCTTACAGTCATTGATGTGTGTTCATTAAGCGCGATAATTTTGGAAGGCTTTATCGGAATGATATCCATCTTTGAACAAGACAATACACCACGTATCAAAATTGAAACCACCAACTGTCGCACCGGTAGGCTCACAACTGAATTGCTGGCGAGGTGAAACCGGTCAGAATGTAAATGATGGTCAAGGTCGAACCCTCACGTCACCTCAGGTAGTAAACAAGCAGGTGTGAGGGTGTTTGGGCCACCCTGGTACTCACATACTTACTACAGTAAATTGAACCAAGAAAAAAATACATAGGTATATAAGTTGGAAAACGAAGCAAAAATCTGAAGAACTTAGTACATATTCGCCTTAAAAGAGTTGAGATTGATCTTCCTTCCTTCAGTCACAGATTTTGGGAACCTACTACCTAAAAAATCAACTCGTTCCACTTCCGGTTAGACCAGAAATGGAATTGAGTATTAAATACGTCATATAAGAACTTAAAATACAATATTATGACATCAAACTTAATAATGACAACTCTAATTTTAACAATACGTCAAATCAAAGGCAATTTTGTGTTCACCCAGTATAGAGACATATTTTTATTGAATTACCATTTCACTTATTTCATTCATTAAATAAAATGAATGACTGAGAAGTTTAATTAAATAAGATAGACTTGTTGGAATGGTGGTACCTAAAGGAAAAATTGAATTCTTCCGGACTGTTTGACCTTGATGGACTGGAATAAAATTCAGGTATTTTAATAGCCTTTGATGTACCATTGAGAATGCGTCT